TAACATTGAGTGATGCTAAGGGAGGAGGGGTTTCTGTTCGGTCATTAATTATTTCCACTTCTGAAACATACTGTAAGTTTATGAGCAAGATGTCTGCGTGATTGGGCTTTCCACTGGAGGAGGGACATTCTGGTGAGAAAATAAAGTTAAGGAAAATAGGGCAAGCAGAGGCACTGACATCCCAAAAGGGGCACTGCAAACACAATTCTTGTGTAAAAGGTATGCCAGGAGCAAGAGGGCCTCACAAGAACCACCTAAACACCACCCAAAATTGGAAGCCTCAAAAGTGTTTCTGCCACCTTTGCTCTATTGTTTTTGTGGAGAAGCATAGGCAGTTTTGATGCCTTATGCATACTGTTTGTCTGGAACCAATGAATCACATAGAAGAGCCAGTAATTTCTGTTCTTGGTATAATACTCTCTATACCTGCATAGCGTTCTTTTAGTTTTTCAGATTTGAGATTTCCCACTTTGCAGAAGAGAAAACTTATAGCACTGGAAAGAAAACTCACCCAAGGTGACCCAAGTAGTTAATCCATTCATTCATTCACTCACTCATTCTCCAACCATTTACTAAGAGCTTGCTGCATGCCAATTAAAAGTAGAGTAATCCCTACTTCCAAGACCCTTCCAACTAAATCACTAATGTAAAGGGTTATTTGCTCCAGGTGTAACCTATTATTTTTTAAAAAGGCAACATTCTTGCTATAATTAGTTTCAGAAGACATCTTCCTAAACTAGAAATCTACAACCATTGGTTAACCGAAATACTTGACACCCATAGGTAGCAGACTCAGTAGGTAACTTGGTTTTGAAAAAATGCCAATAAGGATTACTTCTCTCCAAAAATCCAAATAAACCCACCTGTAGCTCAAATAAAAGGGGAAGCAGTGGCAAACTTATTCCACCAAGGAAGTGTTTTATTTCCAAGATTGAGTTTCCTTGAGTAATTTAGAAATCACTGCCACCTCCAAAGAAGCAGGCCACCTCTTCCATTCAGTTTAAAACCGCTACTTTCAAAAGGGAGGCCACTACTATGGAAAAGTCACAACTCCATGTGCTGGACTGACTGAGCAAGAGAAAATAACTTACTCTTTCACCTGTAACCCATAGGTCCCTACATAAGCCCCTGAAAAACGTTGCAAGCCCTCTCTGGACCAGGTTTCCAGTGTAAACGTCCCCAAAACAGCAATCTCAAAATGACTGAGGGCCCTAACAATCAGATCCCCCACCCTATATAAAGCACCACACATACACACGCATCAGCAAAAAAAAGAAAAGAAAAGAAAAAGAAAAAGCCACTATCCCCAGTTCAGACACAAACTCTGCCCTGCAGTTACTCTCCCCTACAACAGGCAAGGCCCATTTGGTCACCATCCCACCGCCCTTTCTTGGGTCAAATCCTATCACTAGACATCCCCTCCCAATTTCCACACCCTTGCCCTATTAGCAGTTCCTTACCCTACACACCCCCTACCCATAACATTTTATTCGCCCCCTTTCCATCCGGGCTCCAATCCACCAGCCCCCTCGCACCACCATCCCCTCCCCTAATCACTGTGGCTCCAGTTATAGCGTTCCCCTCGAAAAGCCATCCGCGTGTCAAGCCCCTCTCCACCCACCGACCATCGGTAGAGGACCAGCTACCGCAAGGGGTAAGAGACAGGGTCCCCAAAGCTGACCAAAGGGCCCGCGGGAGGGGGAAGGGAACTCAGGGCCGTGCGCATGCGCCCCGGGCGCCGCGGTAGCCGGTCGCCCCTAGGCCCGGAGAGGGCCCCAGCCGCCGCCGTCGTCCCCAACCCCCCCCACCACCGCACCTACACGCCGGCCCGGCCTCGGGCTCCACGTAGGGAAGGATACTTAAAGCCAGCATTTTGGACTGGTAGTCAAAAGCTACCACCTCGCCCTGCAGCCGCTGCTCCTGGCACGTCCGGCACGACACCTGGCTCCCAACGCTGAAGTACTCGCCCGGAGGAGCCGCCATCTTGGGAGAGCAGCCGCGGCCGGCGGCGGCGGCGGCAGCAGCGGGCGAAAGCCGGGCCCCCAGTGAGCGCCGCGACGCGACGCACGGGACGTGCTGGCGTCACACGCCGGGGCGTGGCCTGGCGCTGGGTGGGGCGGGAGCCTAGGTGGACGAAGAAGGAAGAGGAAATAAAAGTGAATCTGAATAATTTTTGTGCAGCTGAGCCTACTTGGATAAGTGCCTGTAGAGTCCACTTTAGAAGTTAAGAATAAATGGCCCACATGGAATGAAAAGGGGAAAGAGGAGGGAGCAGTCTTCATTATTTGCACATCTTAAACACAGAGGTTAATAAATTAACTCTATAAAACAATTATATTGTCCCCGTTTAAATATGAGGAATTAGAGGCCCAGAATACTTAACGAAACTCGCTCAAGGTGATCATAACTAATTACAAAGTGGCAGTGGAAAGAACATTAGCTACAGAGTTAGATAAACTAGAATCAGAATCCCAGGTCTGCCACTTACTAAATTATGTGACCCTGAGCAAATTACCTAATCTTTTTTCTTCACTGGCATCTATGTTATCACTTATTGAGGATTTAATAGCCCTTTGAGGTAAGAATCAATATCCTTATTTTACAGATGAAAAAAATAAGTCTTAGACTAAACTTGTCGAGAATCACAACTGTCAAGGACATAGTCTACCTGTTTCCAAAGATGGTACTGTATATTGCTATACTGTATTAAATAATAATACCTACCTCATAGAATAAATAGGAAGTTCAAATGAAATCATGTGTATACATGCATGACATGTGGTAGATCTTTAATAAATGGTAGTTCCCCATGAGTCCTCTTGGAACTCAAAGACACTTTCCCATCTCCCTCCTTACCCTGTCCCCCAAGAAAGCCGGGCAAAAAAGGCAAGAATAAGAAGCAGGGATAGTGACAAAGGGAGACTTGGCAGAGGGACTTTGGCTCCTCAAATACCTTTTCATCTGATATATAATGTCCATCTAATATACAAAAGTTTTAACATTATGTAAGGTACTATGCAGTTGCATTTTCAAACCCGACCACCACTAACTGCCATCTAACCCACCCACCCCACAATATAGAAATATCAGAGCCTTATGTATAAGAAACAGGTTGACCTTTCTCTAATGTAGAGGGAGGCAAAGGGCCAGCCTTGGCATTACTTAACCTGAGCAAAGTTCAAAAGTGTTTCCTTGCCCTGCAAAGGCACAAACTTCCTAGTGTTGGAGGTATTGGCACAATCATTGTAATAGGAATAAAAATTCTGCTCCCTCATACTTGTGTCGTTTCCAGATAACTTTCATGTTTCTCCTCCTTATTCCCCCATAAAAAATCATATGTAATCACCATCCACTTTTGATAGAGTATTATGATTATAGGTTTTCAGGCATGCACCACCATGCCCGGCTAATTTTTTCTATATATATTAGCTGGCCAATTAATTTCTTTCTATTTATAGTAGAGACAGGGGTCTCGCTCTTGCTCAGGCTGGTCTCGAACTCCTGACCTCAAGCAATCCGCCCGCCTCAGCCTCCCAGAGTGCTAGGATTACAGGCGTGAGCCACCACGCCCGGCCTGATTACAGGTTTTCTTATGTGACTTCCAGGCACCATTAGGAGAGGCCTTCTCTAAGGAAGCAAAAAATCTCAGCTGAGAAGATTAATCAATTAGCAGGGAATGAGGGTGGCCATGTTCCAGGCAGAGGGAACCGCATGTGGCAGGACCCCTAAGAGGAGAGAGCTTGGCAATTTCAAGGAACACACGGTAGCTAAGAAATACTATGCAGTAGGGCCAGTGTGGTAGCTCATGCCTGTAAACCTAGCACTCTGAGAGGCTGAGGCAGGAAGATCACTGAGCCCAGGAGTTTGAGGTTGCCGTGAGCTAGGCTGACACCACGGCACTCTAGCCCAGGTGACAGAGCGAGATTCTGTCTCAAAAACAAACAAACAAACAAACAAAATATTATGAAGCAGGATGGCCTGGTGGCTCACGCAAGAGCGAGACCCGTCTCTGCTATAAATAGAAAGAAATTAATTGGCCAACTAATATATATAGAAAAAATGAGCCTGACATGGTGGCACATGCCTGTAGTCCCAGCTACTCAGGAGGCTGACGCAGGAGGATTGCTTGAGCCCAGGAGTTTGAGGTTGCTGTGAGCTATGCTGACGCCATGGCACTCACTCTAGCCTGGGCAACAAAGTGAGACTCTGTCTCAAAAAAAAAAAAAGAACAAGGTTGCTTGAGTTAGAAGAAAAGGAGCCACTTCAATAGTCTTCTAGGCGGGACCTTGCCTAGAATAGCTGAGATGTCTCTGTATGTTCCTCCAGATGATTGTTCCAAACTTTGTCACGGGTGTGTGCCCCTTCTCTTCCCATACCAACACTGTCACTGTCTCTTGATTTATCTGCTTAGCTGGGTTTTGGGTAGTAAGAGGATAGAAGGGCAGAGGAGGAGGCAAGGTTAGAACTGCGAAGAAGAGCGACTTTGTGCTAGATGTGAGAATTCGCAAGTCTTTAGGGAAGACCCCTCAAAATCAAGAGTCGTATAGGTCAGCCTCAGTATGAATAGCGGTTGAATTAGAGCGGGAGTCTTGGGCTGAGGAAGGCTTGAATAGATTAGCAATATGCAAATTTAGGGTCCAGCTTCAGCTCCCAGGAGGACGGGGTGTCTAGGTTTCTAGGTTTCAGCCTTCTCTCTCCAAGAGATCTGAGGTGTTTATTTTGTTTGTTTGTTTGGTAGGTAGCAGTACTGGAGAAGAGAGAGCGGTCTGGGAGGAATCCTGGCCCTAGAGATAATACATCCGCCTTCGCAGAAGCAGAGCGAGGACCCTGGGCGCGCTGTCCGCTTGCTGGTGAGTTCCTCTCCTGACCCGGAACAGCAGCTGGTGCTGCCAGTATGCCGGCTGCCCACGTGCCAGCAACAGCGGCCACGTGGGGCCCTGAGGAAACGCCTTCGCGAAGGTTTGTCCCCTGCGCTGTCCGGTAGAGAGGAATGCAGGGGCAGAGCGCAGGAGGAAACTACCGGCAAGACGCCGGACTCGCGGGATCTGGGGCTGGCAGGGGGCGGGGCTTGGCGCGGACCGCTAACGGGAGGGCGGGGTCTGGGGCTCTGAAGAGTGGGGTTTGGGTGGAGGCGGGCAGCCACTTAGTTGTCGCCGGCACTCCTCGGCCTCCGCCCTAGAGCAAACCCGGGCCCAGCCGGCCCTTGGGTCGCCATGGAGTCCACTCTGGGCATGGGCATCGCGATAGCCGAGGCGCTGCAGAACCAGCTACCCTGGCTGGAGGACGTGTGGCTCTGGGTCACCTTTCTCGGCGATCCCAAGATCCTCTTTCTGTTCTACTTCCCCGTGGCCTACTACGCCTCTCGCCGCGTGGGCATCGCGGTGCTCTGGATCAGCCTCATCACCGAGTGGCTCAACCTGGTCTTCAAGTGGTGAGACAGCGAAGCCTTCCGGCATCCTGGTCCCCCATCCCCAAGGGCCCTGAGTCCTGTGTAAGCCTCGCTCTCTCTCAGCAGGTGTTGCAGAGGCCTTCCCACCCCTACTCTGTAGTCCCTGATTTCCCCCTTTGAGCATCTTTGTGCATCTTGGACTCAGACCTCAGAGTTCACCCATCCTACTCATTAGACCAGTGTTCATCTAACTGGCCTGATCACAGAAATCACCTAAGGGGCGTGTTTAAAATGCAAATACTCCATCCCCACCTCAAACCTATTGATTCAGAAACTCCAGGGGAGGGGCTGGGAATCTGTATTTTATCTATGGTGATTTAAGTAGCAGAAAATCCTACTTCTCAACTCACTTTTTCATTCATCAATTCATTACACATACTTTGTAAAAAGCATGCTTTGTGCTAGGCATCACACTAGCTGCTAGAGACAGAGAGGCCTTGCCCATTAAGGTGTGGTCTCTGGACCGTGCCCAACAGCATAGGCAGGACTTGAAAGCTTGCTAGAAATGCAGAATCTCAGGCCTGGGGCCGGAGCTACTGGATCAATCAGGGTTTTAACAAGGAGCCCAGGTATTTCGTGTGCTCAGTAAAGTTTGAAAAGCACTGGACTAAAGCACACTTTCTCTTCTTTCTCCTTCATTCACTAGTAGGCTCTTCACACTGAGACTTAGAAGCCAAGACTCCCAGGCAGGTGGGTGGAGGCCCTGCAGCCCTCTGAGCTTATCTCTTTGTGTCACCTGTTCTGTCTCTCTCTTGGGCCCTGAAGGGAGCTATGCTTCCTGCTGGGCATGCAGCCATACCTTCCTTCACCTCAGCCTTGTAGCCAGGTCCCCAGGCTGGGGAAAGGAAGGGAGGTTCATAGGATGCACTTGACTGGGCCAGAATGACTTGCTGAAAAACAACATAGGAGTTACCTTCCCTTCCACTCTTCTCTGCAAGGGCTTCATCCCTGCTGTAAAAGGAAAAGCAGTTCTCTAATCACTTCCTTCTTGCCTAATTGCCCTTTGCTTTGTGCACTCTCCTCCCTCAGAGTCTGTATACACCTCCCTCTCTAGTCCTGTTCCCCTGAAGGAAAGTCAGACACCCACCTTGATGGACACCCTTAATGCCACCCTCTCCCCACAGTGAAAAAGCCTCTATTCATTTTCTTTTCTTTTCTTTTCTTTTTTTTTTTTTTTTTTGAGACAGAGTCTCACTTTGTTGCCCAGGCTAGAGTGAGTGCCGTGGCATCAGCCTAGCTCACAGCAACCTCAAACTCCTGGGCTCAAGCAATCCTGCTGCCTCAGCCTCCCAAGTAGCTGGGACTACAGGCACATGCCACCATGCCCGGCTTTTTTTTTCTATATATTTTTAGTTGACCAATTAATTTCTTTCTATTATTTGGTAGAGATGGGGTCTCACTCTTGCTCAGGCTGGTTTCAAACTCCTGACCTTGAGCGATCCACCCGCCTGGGCCTCCCAGAGTGCTAGGATTACAGGCGTGAGCCACTGTGCCCAGCCTCTATTCATTTTCTGAGTTTTTGGAAGGAAGAGGCAAGTCCTTTCTGGATCTCCCTCCTGGGCACTTGGCTTCCTGCCAGCATCTCCTCTGCTATTCCACCTTTTCTCTTTCTGGCCATAGCAGCCTCTTCAGTGTATGGTTTCCCCGGGCCCAGGCAAGCACCTGCTAGACTAGGGGATTTTGAAGTTTTTGTCCTCGTTATTCTCTTCTCAGCCTCCTCTGTCCATTCCCCACTCCCATTTTCAGACATGAGAGATTGGCCTAAATAATTCAGGTGTGGGCTGGGCATGGTGGCTCATGCCTGTAATCCTAGCACTCTAGGAGGCCTAGGTGCTTGAGGTGAGGAGTTTGAGAGTTTGAGACCAGCCTCAGCAAGAGTGAGAGTCCCATCTCTACTAAAAATAGAAAAATTGCCAGACAACTAAAAATAGAAAAAAATTAGCTGAACGTGGCAGTGCAGGCCTGTAGTCCCAGCTACTCGGGAGGCTGAGGCAGGAGGATCATTTGAGCCCAGGAGTTTGAGGTTGCTGTGAGCTAGGCTGATGCCACAGCATTCTAGCCCGGGCAACAGAGTCAGACTGTGTCTCAAAAAAAAAAAAATAATAATAATTCAGGTGTGGATCCTAGCACTTTGGGAGACTGAGGCAGAAGGATTGGTTGATTTCAAGACAAGTCTCACCCAAGAGTGAGACCCTGTGAAAGGGTGGAAATTAGGTGCTCACAGCAGGTGGAGAAATATTGCTCACACACAGTTTAGGCTAGAAAGAAGTACAAAGTTTATTTATTTTCCAGAGAGAGGCAGGGGGAGAAGGACGGAATAGCCACAGCACACAGAGGAAGGAAGGAAGTGTTGGGTGCTTTAAAGGGTAAAATAGCTTTCCCCCCTCTGCTTTAGCAAACTGATAACAGACACAACTGCAAAGCTGTTGTAGGTGTTATATTTTTCTCCTTTATCTGTGAGGCCAGCTTTATCAGAGTCCTTGGAATCTGGTTTTTGGCAGGAACACAGGCATAGAGCTTGGGTGGTAAGTTTACATCCCTACTGTCCACTTAGGGCTCCTCAAGGCTATGAAAGAAACACTTAGAGATAAGAGTTAGGCCAGGGGTGTTTAATTAAAACAAAACAGAGGGGGTAGTTGTGTTGTGAGTTTTTTCTTCAAAGGGGCAATTATGTGCTGTGAGTTTATTCCTCTTTCTGTTTATTTTCCTCTCGTTAGGTAGGTTATTAGTAAGGCCACCTTTCATCCAGTCTCTACAAAAAATAGAAAAATTAGCCAGGAGTGGTGGCATGCACCTGTAGTCCCAGCTATTTGGGAGGTTAAAGCAGGAGGATCGCTTGAGCTCAGGACTTTGAGGTTGCTGTGAGATATGATGTGAGCCAGGACGACAGAGTGAGACCCTGCCTCAAAAAAATAAAAAATAAAAATAAAAATAACTCAGGTGTGGGTAATTCAGGCTGGAACTGGGGACATGGGGTAGGGGTAGCAGGTAAGTCAGTGAGGGCCTGGAGGGAGGGAGCCAGGTCCTGGGCGAGAAGAAAGAGCTGACTCTGTAATGAGAGGGGTTAGAGTAAATCACATATGTAGCTCAGATGCATACAAACACATGCTCACCACCATCTCTTGCCTCTGTATCATTTTTAATCATCTTGCATCTGTTCTCTTCCAGGTTTCTGTTTGGAGACAGGCCTTTTTGGTGGGTCTATGAGTCTGGGTACTACAGCCAGGCTCCAGTCCAGGTTCACCAGTTTCCCTCTTCTTGTGAAACTGGTCCAGGTGGGAAGCCGCAAACCTCCTCCCTTTCTCGCTGTGGTTAGGGCCCCGGTGAGCATTTCAGAGTACTTTTCAGCCAGGGTGACCCAACCAGAGGCCCAGCCTCTCAGTTACTGGCCCGGAGAACAAAGAAACCCCAGGAAGACCAAGTTGAGTTATGAGAGGAGGGCACCCATGCCATGTCTCAGCTGTTCCCCTTGTACAGAGTAGAGCCAAGAGACACAGGTCAGGGCAGAAGCCTGAGAGCAGTGACCTCGGGGATAAAAGAGACTTCAGGGCAGAGGGAGCTGTGGATCAGTGTTGAGGGAAAGCTCTCTTCTCAGCCAGGGGGAAGCAGCTGTGTTGTAGTATCACCAGGGGCAGCTGGGTTCCCCCTCCATCCTCTCACCATGAGCTTCTGGATTCCTTGGCAGGCAGCCCTTCCGGACACTGCATGATCACAGGAGCAGCCCTCTGGCCCATAATGATGGCCCTCTCTTCCCAGGTGTCCACTCGGACCCGCAGGTATACCTTTGACATTGCCCACCATTGGGAGCAGGGGTGGTGGCACCCTGGACCCAAAAGACCCAGTAGCATGGCAGCCTGGAAGCTGGAGTTCTGGGGAGCCTGGGGTATTTGGTCGACCATAAAGTGCCTAGGTGCTGAGGGAAGCCACACTGTGTATGGACACCCCCTAGGTCAGGGGTCCTCAAACTGCGGCCCGCTGAGGACATTTATCTGGCCCGCCGGGTATTTTTGCCACCACTGCCTGTCCTGCTTAGCAGCCAACCTGTCCTGGGCCCACAGTGCACATGTGTGGATGTGCATCACACTCTCCAACGGTCTGAGGGACAGTGAATTGGCCCCGTTTAAAAAGTTTGAGGACCCCTGCCCTAGGCCGTTTGCCTCTCTTCTTTCCAGCCGCTGGGTAAGGATGATACCTGGCCTGGCTTATTGCACCTTCCTGTTGGCGGTTGGCCTGTCCCGAGTCTTCATCTTGGCACATTTCCCTCACCAGGTGCTGGCTGGCCTAATAACTGGTGAGCAACTCGGGCAACAGGGTGGGCCGAGAGGGTGCCTTTGGCAGAGGGAAGACCAGTCTAGGATCTTCCCATCATTCCAGTTTCTCTAGAGCCAACCCCAAATGCCCCCCCGCCCCCATATCTGTCTGTTCTCTTGCCAAGCTACACTGGACCTGGGGGTGGGATGTGGGGAGCGTCATAACTCCTTGAAGCTGTTGTCACTCCACTCCCCTAGGTGCCGTCCTGGGCTGGCTGATGGCTCCCCGGGTGCCCATGGAGCGAGAGCTAAGCTTCTATGGGTTGACCGCGCTGGCTCTCTTGCTGGGCGCCAGCCTCATTTATTGGACCCTCCTTACGCTGGGCCTGGATGTTTCTTGGTAAGCTCACTTTGAAGGCCAGGCAGGCTGGGGCAGGTCCTACCTCACCTGTACCTAGCCTGGTTGGTCTCTGGTTCATTGTAGCTAAAAAAGGACACATTACCCATTCACAAACATAGACCCTTCTAGGGACAAGGCAGAACATGAGAGTGGGCCCCAAAGGGCAGATGGCTAAGAGCCAGTGGCCCTCTAGGTTCCAGTCTCTCCTGGCAAGGACTCTTCTTTCCCACAGGTCTATCAGCCTAGCCTCCAAGTGGTGTGAGCGGCCTGAGTGGGTGCATATGGACAGCCGGCCCTTTGCCTCCTTAAGCCGTGACTCGGGGGCTGCCCTGGGTCTGGGCATCGCCCTACACTCTCCCTTTTATGCCCAGGTACGGCGGGCACGGTTGGGAAATGTCCAGAAGCTAGCCTGCTTTGTGCTGGCTATGGGACTGCTGAGCCCCCTGGACTGGCTGGGCAACCCCTCTCAGATCAGCCTCTTCTACATCTTCAATTTCCTTAAGTACACCCTCTGGCCATGCCTGGTCCTGGCCCTCGTGCCTTGGTTGGTACACATGTTCAGTGCCCATGAAATACCACCCATCCACTCTTCCTGACCTCTGCCTCCTTCCGCCCATTCCCTCCCAACACTCCAGGACTGCCACACCCCAGGAAGCAGCTCCAATCCCTTCTAGCCCCCAAGCAGGCCTGGTTCACCTTAAGTTTCTTGCTTTTCCCAACACCTGGTCTTAGCCCCAAAGAAGGGCCTTCTTTCTCCCAGAGAGGCTGGTCCTCCTGCCTTTTCTCCCAAGCCCCCAAAGAGCAAAGGCAACAGCAAGACCAGCAGGTTCCTACAACACTGTGAGGGGTAGCCAGTGCAGCCCCAATAAAGCCCTGGAACAGTTTTGGATTCCTTTCTTGCCTGTGCATACATCTCCACTGAGCTTGCTAGCATGTGTACAGGTGGAACCCTTGCCAGGCCACCTGTCTATGCAGAGGCAGAGGAAAGGGGAGGGCTGTAAACTCAGGTGAGACCTCTCAGCCCCATGTCCCCTTCTTACTCATCACCACCTAGGCCACACAAGACGTCCTGTTAGATGCTGTAGCTACATTCAGTAAAACCTTGTCTTTTACCTACAGGACAGATCTCCCACCCTGGTGTCCTGTTTCCTAAATTGGCTTCGAGTTCCAGGGCTGGAGAAAAGAATAGTTTTCTTGGCTAGGAGTGGAGATGAGAAACCTCTACTCCATTTGGGAGCCCAGAGAAGAGAGACACTGGCCCCAGAAGGCACTGGCAGAAACAAGTTTATTTACACAAAGACACACAGTGTAACGGGTTACAGAATCCTTAACTGAAATCCATATCCAGGGAGACAAAGCAATGAGTGGGTTTACATGAGAACCAGACCAGCCACAGGGAGAGAGGGGGGTAAGGGGCCTGGAGCCTGGGGCCGCACGGGGAGGCCTGGTACACTGGGCCTAGCCCCATCCCCATCCCCCAGGAGGATCTAGAACACACAACATACAAGTGCGCAATGAACCGATGGTGGTGGGACTCCTACCCCTCCCCTGGCTCCCTCAACCCTGCTCAGGCCCCCATTAGGATAATAAATATGTAAACAGATTGGTGGGGCCCTGGGGATAGGAGGAGAGGAAGTGTATGTGGTACTGGGGGTGAGGAGGAAGAGTCAGCCCCCTAGGAGCCACTTCCCATCTTTGGTTTCCTGTGGGCTGGCTGGACAGCATTCCCTGGAAGCCTTGTGGGCCCTCCAACCCTGGAAACAGAGAGGGCTCTGCAGGGTTCCTGGGAAGGCAAAGGGGCAGTACCCAGCCCCCTCCTGGATTTAGTTTCCTTGGGCTGGTGGCCAACACAGGGAGCCCAGGAGGAATGGAAGCTCCAGCTGAGGGCCAACTTCTAGGTCCCTGGGTTCTGGCTTTCTAGAACCCCCACTCTCACTATCCCCAAGCTCCAAAGCACAAGGGGCCAGGAAGGAGGGGAGCCACTGACCTTCCTACCTGCAGCCAAGGCTGGGTGGCTAGGGGATCTGGTCCTGAACAGCAGGGGGGCTCTCACCAGCTGGAGCCCCCTTGCAGGGACCACCTTCTCCCCCTTCCCAGGCCGTGCCAGCAGAGTAAAGTGGGAGCGGGCCTGGTTCTGCGTCTCCTCCTGGCCCCTCCCTCCCCACACACTTTCAATGTCTCAGCCCCCGGGAAGGAAGAAAGGGAGAAGGTGGAGAATGCTGGGATGGGAGCCCACCTTCCTTCACTGTGCATCTGAGACAGGGGTGGCCCTGCAGATCCTCCCCGGAGGCTGGAGAGGGGAGGATGAAATTAAGGCATTTTCCCCCAAGTCAGCTGAAACCAAGGCACCGACTTACTGTTCCCTCCTCACTCGGGGGGGAACTAGAGAATACTGTCTGGCCCCCATGTCCACCTCAAGCTGGCCCAGGCTCCAAGGAGGAAAGGACAGAATGCAGAAAAGTGGGTTTAGGGTACAACATGGAGCAGGGGCTGGGAAGAGCACCCCACTGCCCCAGAGGGAGCCCACGTCTAGAGCTGTGACCTGGGCCACGGGCATGGGGCCTGAGGCAGCTTAGAGGAGCAGGAGGGGCAAGGCTGAGAGACCCACACAGCACACGTTGTTGAATGTGTGACTTTTTGTTTTTAATAGAAAAAATAAACAAAATCACAATGATGGAGCCCAGAGGGATGGGGGCCAGGGTGTCACAGGGCAGGCTCCTGCTCCATGGGCTCCTCTGCTGGCCTGTGGAGACAAGCACAGGGGAGGGCATTGAGCAGGGACACCAGCCGGGGCAAGGGCAGAGAGGTGGGGGAAGGGGGGCTCACCTGGGGCTTTGCTCCCGGGCTGCAGCAGCCTGCACCTGCTCGGCCCCCACCGACAGCAAGGCCATGGCGCTCACAGTCTCGGCCTCCTCGGTCTCACCTGCCTGGGCCTCCCGCAGGGAACGGCCCAGACCGGCGGCAAACCTCTGCACACAGCTCCAGTGTTTGCCTGTGGAAGAGGGAGGGGCAGCGGGAAGAGAGGACAGATAAGTCCCGTGGGCACAGCCAGCCTGGTGCTCCCACAGGCACCGCCCCCTCATCTGAGCCCCTCCACCTGTCCCCACGCACTCTGGATCTCGATGACTTTTTCTAGTGTGGCCACTGCGTTGGTATTGGGCTTTTGCTGCAAGACTGCCTCATCCAAGGGCTGCAGCTGGCAGGGGAAAGAAGAGAAAGCTTAGGGTGGGGAGTAGGGTAGCAATGCCTGCCCCTCTAACTGCCCCATTCAGCCCCAGGCATCCCTCATGGCAGAGGCAAGCATAGCCTTTTTGGAGGAACCCCTACATAGCCTTCCTAGCCACCAACTATCCTTAGGACCCAACAAAACCTTCCCAAGGGGCCCAAGCTCTGGCCCAAGTGCTACTTGACCCAAAGAAGGGGACATTCCTTGCTGGCCCTTCATGTCCCAGCCCCTCCCTCCACCCCTCACCTCTACGCTGAGCAGAGCCGAGACACAGGCCTCAGAGGCATCACAGATGGCGGTCAAGTCGTGGCCTCCCTCCAGGGCCAGCACCACCCGGCCCCCTGCCAGTGTCATCAACTGCCTAGTCAAGTGGCCGAAACCTTTGAGGATGGGTGAAGGCAGAAAAATGAAATGGTAAAAAATAATTCAAGAGACATTAAGAGCAAAAAAGAAACACATGAGATGGGACAGATAGCATAAAATAAGATAGTAGATATAAACCCAGATATATCTATAAGAAAATGTAATGTCAATGGACTACAAGCTCTATCAGAGACAAAACATTGACAGACTGGCCAAAAGTTCCAAGGATATGCTGTCTTACAAGGAACATCACTGAAACACCAGTGGTCAAGAAGCTCCCCGCTACGGTCCAGCAGGAGATACATCCTCTGCTACCCATGCTTCTACCTGCGGCCCCCAAGGCCAGGTTGGCAGAGGGAACATGGGGGGTCTTGGCCCTGCCCTCTGCTCTCCTCCTCTCCTGCAGCTCTCCTGCCCCGCGTCCCACTCGACTCCCCCCTTCCACACCCTCAATCCCCTAGCACGCTCACATCTGGCAGTGACAGAGTAGCCACCCAATGGAGACAGATGTCCTTCAACAGCATCAAACCCAGCGGAGACTAGGACCACGTCAGGTGAGAACTCGTGAGCAATGGGCATCACCACTGTCCTGCAAAGGGATGGCCCAAGCTGACTCCGGCAGATGGCAGGGCCAGGCCTTGCCCCATGCCGTTCTCTCAGAGACAGCCCCCTCCACCCACACTGAACCGAGCGCCTTCTACCCTCCCACTGCAGGGCCCAGGGCGGGGTGTCCCCTTCTCACTCCACACCTGAAGGCTGTCAGATACTCCACGTCTCCGATGGGGGGGTCCACGCCTCCTGTCCATGCCACATTCACATTGTACCCCACACCTGGCCCTCCACCGACCTAGCAGCAGGGTGGGGAAGCAGGTTATTCTCACAGCTGGGGATCCCAGGTATTGCCCCACCCCCATCCCTGCCTCCAGGCCTCTCTGCACTGACCTCTGCTCTGCCCAGAGGGGCAGTCAGACCAGTGTGGTCCTCCCACCAGGAGCCCAGACGCCCCAGGCACCGGCACCACCATGGGCCACCACGGCTCCCCGCCAGGTCCCACTGTGCTACCTCCTGGGAAGGCCTGCATTTAGGCCCAAGAGCTGTACCTCTTCAGGAGCCCCAGAGCCTGGAAAGAAGTTCCCATTGTCATAGCGGTGCAGGGAGATGTAGAGCACAGAGGGGTCGTTGTAGAACGCTTGCTGGGTGCCATTGCCATGGTGAATGTCCTAATGGGGAAGTGGAAGCATAAGGAAATGGCCCAAGCTCTGACCCAAAGGTCAAAAATTCCACCTGCCCCTATCCCACCCTGGGGTGAGCTCTGGGGGTACAGCCAACCACTGGCCACAGGGCATCTGTATTCCACTGGCCACGGTATTGCCCGCCTCACGCTTCCCAACTTGGGGTCTGCACATATGTGACATGGCACCGTGCAGGCGACAGACAAAGCCATGGGATAAATGTGGTGTGTCTCCCTGCAGAACCCATTCCACTTCACAGTTTGAAAGGAAACATTAAAGCTAGTAAGGAATTTAAAACAAGCAGATAAATTCTAAAGAAGGATCCAACGTTTACATGAATTTTTAAGCCAAAATTGGGCTTCAATGGGATCTCATCCTTACCGGGGATTGCTCTGGCTACTTCCCCAGCTCCCAGCGAGTGGCGTGTGCCTTTCCCTCTGCCATTAGGGACAGAGTTTGAGAAGCACCCACAATAGCAAGAGCAGAGTGTTGGGGTCAAAAGGTCTGGTCTGAACCCACAGCCAACATTCCCAGCTAAGTGACCTCGGCAAGTCACCCAATAATGCCTTCATTTACAGAAACGGACATCCTAGTTCTTACTACTCAAGGTGGCCATGAGCAGCTCACATGTCAAGTACTCATTGGGTTCCCGGCACACGGTCAGCCTCCAGTAGAGGCGGCTGGGGGAGAAAAGCAGCCACTAGCGATGGTGGTGGCATCTCTACTGTTCAGGGTAGGAAATCCCCTCTGTTGCTTGAGGCTGCAGGATAGGGACCAAGGAGGAACAGTCCCTCATAGTGAGGAGGGAGCTGTACTGGGCTGATGACCCAGCAGGAGGAACGCAAGGCTGGGCATCGGGATGAGACGCCGGGGCTGCCTGGAGGGGGCTGGAGAAGACTCCCTGAAGGCTGACCCTGGTCCCAGCTCTAACCACCCTTGCCCAGCCTCACCAGCCCACTGCCTACCCAGTCCACGATGAGGACCTTGCCCACGTTCAACTTCTGCTGCAGGAGTTTGGCTGTGATGGCTACAGAGTTGAAGAAGCAGAATCCCCTGAGGGGGGAGGGGAGAAGAGGGCGGGGAGGTCATCTTCAGCAGGGGTTTGCTTCAGGAGTGAGAGCCACTAAGGGGTGAGGGCAGAGGGTTTAGGGCAGGGATGGGGCGGCACTCACATGGCTGTGGATTCCTCGGCGTGGTGTCCTGGGGGCCGGATGATGGCAAATCCATTCTGAAGAGGTGTGGGCAGAGGGACAGACAAGAGGCAGACAGGAAGGCGAGGTGGCCATGAAGGGAGCAGACACAGAAGGAGAGAAGCACAAGCCAGGCATGGAAGTGAGCACACGTCAGAAACACATATATATATTCAATGCACCATTACGGACGCCAACCTTGGGCCTCACGCGTAGGCAGACGCTGTCTCTGCCCTCAAGACACCCACAAGCACACCACACATTAGTGCCCATCTGTTGGTCCCTCATACCTCTCAGCCCCCAGATGTCCCTGGAGCTGTCACTTCCTCCCCACCCTGGTGCATGAGAGTTGAGGATGCAAAGGACAGTGCCTCACTGAAGGGAAGCCAAGGCTGCCCCTGTCCTCCACTCCTAAGGATGCAGGACCAAGCCAAGGGGCTCAAAGGCCACAAGCACACTCTCACCTTGAGCTCTCCCGCAGCCACCTTGAAAGCCAGCTCCACCAGGCAGCCCACTGCCATGCGCACGGCACTGGAGGAATGCATCTCGTTCCACACAGTGTCACTGTCCACCTGCAGGGGCAGGAGAGCAGGCTTCAGCGTGCCCCCTGTAGGGGGAGGGCAAGAATGGGGGTGGGCACCCAGATCGCAGGCCAGCAGCCATGATGGGCAGGAAGGGAGGAGCCAGAGCTGGGACAGCCACCTTCCCACCCCCACTGGCACACACCCTACTCACCCCAATGCCCCCACAAGGCAGCACGGCGTACATCTTCTGGCTGATGGGGCCTGCAGGGAGGAGGGACAGCTACTCTAGAAGATGCCTCAACTGCCAGGGCTGCAGGCTCAGCTCTGCAGAGGGCAGTGAGCTCAGCCACAGGAAATGAAGGCTCAGCCCCAAGCACAGGACAGGCCTCTGCAGCCCACACCAGTTGGGAACTGTCAGTCCCCTGGGGAACATCCTACCTTTGGGGGCAGATGGCAAGGAGAGAGGGGCATTATACACTGGGGAAGGGAGCAAAGCAGTCCCATGCCACCAAGAGGACCCCCTCTCTTCCATCCTGCACTATGGCCCACCAGCATGCTCTGTTCCTGTTGTACCTACATCAATGGCACCCTCCAGAGTTAGGAGACATGGCAACCATGCCATCTCTGCCAGAGTGATGCCCTGTGCCCTGCCTACCCTTCCTGACAGCCCCCAACCCACCCAGACAGTGGACATGCCCTGCCCACTGGCCATCCTGCTGGCTCACCCAGCAGCTTCTTGCTGTCCAGCTTCTGCCGGTTGAGGGGACTGGTCCCATAGAGCAAGGTGTGGTATTCCGAGTGCACCGTCTGAATCTCGTCTAGCGTGGCTTTGCGACCCCGGATCCGCTACCGAGGGCAGGAGGAGAAGCCAGTGAGAGGGGACGCACTAAGGCTCAGCTCTCCTGATGCCCAGACCCTCCCTCTGCCCCACGGTCCCAGGCACACTGACACTTTCTGTGAAATCCAAAGAGTTTTGACAAAGTGGACCCTGTTCCCCCAACCCTATGCCAGGACCCTCCCCCTCTCAGCTGAGGACCATGGAGAAAACAGGCAGCAAGGGATAGGTCTGGAGGTGGCTGTGGGGACTCGCCCGAGGTCTAGGGCTGCAGAGAGGATGAGGACAAGACACAGACAGGCTT